GGGGGGGATCTCTGCTGCATATTGTGTGTGTTTGGGGGGGGTCTCTGTCTGTCGCATTTCGGGGGGGAGGGGGGATTTCTGTCTGCTGCATGCCGGGGGAATTTGTTGCCACATCAACAATATAGTTGCCCTCAAAGGGCTAGGGTCCATGGTGGGCTATGCATGTTCCAGTGTTCTATCAAAGTTTGTGACTGCGTTAGAATGTGTGACCGGTCACATGGTCACACATTTTAACGTAATCCCGCCCAGTTTTTCGGCAGTGGAATGTGTGTTCCACCGCTCCACCGCTACTGCTCTGGAACGCACTGTAATTTGTGTGAATAAGCCCTAAAACACTTTTAAACCTGCACATACATTGCTGTAATTGTCTTGTATATAGACTGTGGCTCCTCTGACTGCTGTAATCCTAAAGGCTCGTTTACACCCTTGCCCGGAATGCAAGGAATCGCATACACAAAGTCTCCTTGCGTTCTGGGGTGTGAGGGGGCGTGGCAGTGCCATTCATGTCATTTGAATTTCAGAAACACACCCTGCTCGCAAAAAATAGTACATGCACAATTCATGTCATCAGCTGCACCAGAACGCATGGTAACACAATGCTGTGCGTTCAAGTGTGGTGCAATCACAAAAAATTGTGCATGCATTATCGTTTGCGGGCAGGGAGTGCATCTGGAATTCAACTGACATGAATGACACAGCCACGCCCCCTCCCACCCCAGAATGCAAGGATAATTTGTGTATGTAATTTCTAGCATTTTTTTGGGGGTTGGGGCTTAGGTTGCAGGGGGGGCCCTTACAAGATTTTGCTATGGGGACCTGTGATTTCTAGTTACGCCCCTGTGACTGAAGGCTGCAGCTCTCCCTATCTGTCCTGTGTCAGATCCGATTCTCGTCAGGGATCACCTCAGGTTGCCTATGCTGGACTCGACCTTGGGACCCGCCTCATCCACCTCACGGCCACACCTCCCCCGCTGCATCCTCTGGCCGGCGGGAGCTCTCCTGAGTCCCTGTCTTCAGTTCTCAACGCTGGCAGCGTGAGAGAGCTGCGGCACCGCTGGCTCCTCAGATCGGCGCTGGCAGCATGAGAAAGCCGCGGCACATCGGCCGCAGGCAGAGCACAATCTTTGGCCGCACTAAAAAATCTTCGGGCCGCGGCGCCACACCCAACTAGTGGAATACCAGTGTCCTGGCTGCGCCCCCACCCAGCCTGCACCCGAGGCGAGTGCCTCACTCGCCTCGCCCTTCCTACGGCCCTGTATACGGCTACTGCAGGCTGTCATACCCACTGAGAACTCTCCTGGCAAAAATGCAGGGTCAACACAAGCTGCCTTCCACCCACCTGATATGTGATACACCCAAACATTGGAACTTTACGTTGACTATGCTGCATCGGCTGCATGATCAGCACTAGACCCTCACCATGGCGGTGGCTCCTGATTCTTTTCACTATTCAAAACAGCGACCAGAATGATAGGCTGCGATTAGCTACTGTTCCTCTGGTGTTCCTCCAGGAGCACACACTGTGTGGTGCAGTAGACTGGGCAATGGATGCACAGCAGCAATGCTTAGATCCATTCATTCTGTGAAACTCCATGAAAGTTTGTTCTGTACACATGGAAGCAAAAACAAATGTTATTAGTATATTTTCTTGAAGTTGAATGTAATATCAGGAAAATACCAGCTGGAGCTGAGGAGCATAGGATTTCTATGTTCCTTGTCTATATCTATTTGCAGTAATGCTGTGCAGACTGCATTAGCCCAGCTATATGCTGGGCAGAAGTTTTTATACATCAGCCCCTATGTGAGGTGCTTTACAACTGTGTTTATAATCAAAATTATAATGTTTTATTTATCAGCAAAAATATTATACCGTATTAACTCCATGCACAGTATTTAAACATTTTGGCAAATCCCCATTTTGAACTGTACCCATGAGGGCTCATGCCGCAAAAGGCCCATACAGCATATTGTAAAGGGTTTGCTACAGCACAGAGGCACAACCAGCCAGCCTGTACAAATCCAATGATAGGCTGACAGACACTATGGCTTTAGAGATATATTACACACATCTGAGCAATAATATAAAGGGTACCGGGACATATGTGCTGACCCAAATGCAGACAGTCCACGCATATATTTCAACATACACTATATTACCAAAAGTATTGCGACGGCTGCCTTAACATTCACATGCACGTCTCCACTGCTAAAGTACCTGTATACACTTGTACTTCATGCAAGTAATAAAAGTAGAAAATAGTACCAGAAATAAACAGAGGATAAGCTTATTATGCAGAAAATTGTTCCAAACAATTTATTTAACACAGTGCTGCCCAAAAAAGCATTATGCTTGCAAAACAAATATATGAGGGCTCATGCCGCAAAAGGCCCATACAGCATATTGTAAAGGGTTTGCTACAGCACAGAGGCACAACCAGCCAGCCTGTACAAATCCAATGATAGGCTGACAGACACTATGGCTTTACAGATATATAACACACATCTGAGCAATAATATATAGGGTACCAGGACATATGTGCTGACCCAAATGCAGACATATATTTCAACATATTTGCATCTGGCTGTTAAATCTAGCTGTTTTCTTATATCAGGCAAAGGGAAGTATGGGCAACCCTGGTCAGCCTGCATCATGATCGTCACACTGGAAATGATTATGATCATATTGTGGAAATAATAATGTAAATATTTACTCCTATTTTCTAGAAAAGATACAAGAGGAAATCCGGTCAAATATTAAACAAGGACAGATGCCTTCAGTTGAAGATCGGAGAAATATGCCTTATACTGAAGCAGTGGTACATGAAATTCAGAGGTTTGCTAATATCGTTCCTTTAAATGTGTCGCACATGACTCCAAGTGATGTGTATTTCCGGGGTTACTGCATCCCAAAGGTGAGTTCCAGAAACTCCCCCTAATTTATCAGTAAAATCATACACCAAATGAACAGATTTCTCTGTTGCTTCATATTCAAACTTGGAAAGCCGCTGCAGATATGACTGTTACCAAACTAGATGATGTTGGGCACATGGCTGAGCCCTTCTTGTTTTATTGGAAAAGAACAGCACCACAAAGATAGAAAATTACATTGTAACCACTTGAAAGAAAATGATACACAGTTTAAACATACAAAACACTACCACCTATTGTTGCATGCTAACAGCCCCACTCAACAACTTTATTGTAAGTCCCATATTGTCTGTCTTTTGGTGTTCTTCAAACCTTCGCTTTGGTAGTGGTTTTGCCGTATACTGTATACAGTATTTTTGTGCCTCCACTGTTTGTCTGTAGTATCCATTGTTTGCTTTGAAGAATTTTTGTTCCCAAGCTTGGAGCTGGTTGAGAGATGTCATCTTTTCATCTGCAGCTATGATCTATTTTTACGCCTCATGAACAGGTAACTTTTGTATTGCTTCCCAGGATGCGGAGCTGTACGAACCATATATGACAAGCATCTAGCTGGAATGCCCTTATTTGATCCCCCAGATTTTCTGACTGAGGTTGCAGGCGGTTCATCTTCTTTCTTTTCTTAGGATAAATTACTGACACCAATTTCTCTGATTTTATGTTCCTTTTCCAACAGTACTTGTAACAGAACCTTGGTAACACCCTCAGTTCCCCACATCTGCTCTTTCATGCAGCTAAAGGCACAACTCTTCATATTTCAGTATGACAGAGTTTGGAACTTACCATGGTAGCCATTTTTAGACAATGGGTGCCAAGCCTACCCATGTCAACATTATCAACCACTCTTTTGCTGGTAAAGGACTTACATTCTTTTCCCATCTCCAACTCCTCAGGAGACACAAAGGGTGATAGCTTTCCAGTGTAATAACTCTTATACAAGGATCATTATCCCCATAACACTGCCTCCCCATAAGTGTTTGCAACTAACCTCCTCAACACGAGTATATGCCAGAGGCCTACCACTCAATTCACAAACCCAGTCCTCTGTTACAGAGATGCTCCACCATTCTCCAGCCATGGAACATCATCTTCTAACCCATATTAGCTCACTCAGTAGTAAGGAAGAATCACATTCGATTGCAAAATGTTAAACTTTACTTTGCCAACTTTTCTTCAGCAAACAAACATTTTTTACACTCAAATGCCAACATCAACACGGTACCTTACCAACATTAACAGGTGCCCCTGCAGTTTATTTCCTTGCCTTGCACATTGCTAAGTCAGCTCCCACCTGGAGCAGCCACGCTCCTTCTAAAGGGAGCCCCACGTGCCAAGGATCTCACATATCTTTTGCTGTATGCTCTGTCTAGAAAGAGACCCCCTCCTCACTGTACTCCATTTAATTTAATTTTTATTGGGGGGTGTAGAGAGCAGAAATTTGAGAGCACTGATTTGTAAAGAAGTTGTTATAGCAGTTATCTTTAAAAGTCTCTGTGACAGTAATGAGGTCTGGGCACCCAAAAACTATTTAGGAAGCCCCATTCCCCCTCAGTTTGTTGAAATTCACCACCTATAGACCTGAATAAACCAGACTACTGATTAAACATATTTGTTTTGTAGAGAGTCTTAATGAGGGATCATAAAGCACTAAGTAGCCAGAACATGAATAAGGTATTACTTGACAGATCCCAGTTGAATACCCATAGATGGTCTGGGTTCAGATGACCTCTAAAAAACCCTGCTAACAAAACTAGTTTCCAGACTTCACCCAGAATTCCTAACTTTAGACCTGGGGGCGCTACATTAATAACAACTATATCTATAGTATACTATGCAACTCTGCTTTAGGAGGTGCAAAGGGTCAAAAACACTCAGGGGGAATTTATCAAAACTGGAGCAGAGAAAATCTGGAGCAGCTGTGCATGGCTTTTCTCTTTCATTTTCAAATGTTAACTGAATAAACGGAAGAAAAAGGCTGATTGGTTGCCATGCACAGTTGCTCCAGATTTTGTCTACACCAGTTTTGATCGATTCCCCCCCACTGGGTGTATGCAAAGTGAGGCTGAGAGTGGTATTGTCACAGTCTCATGTAATGTGTCTCCAGTCTGTGACTCTTACAGCATGTTCTTAGTTTCCAACAACTACTATATCACATTTACCATCTCTGACCATCTCCTGCGGCATGTCTGCCATTTCTGACCATCTCTTGTAGCATGTCTGTAGTTTTTGAGCATCTCTTATAGCACGCCCATAGTTTTTGACCATCTACTGTTGCAGTAGAAACTGTTGTCTGCAGTCTGTGACAGATTTCTGCAGAATTACATTTACTAACTATTATATGACGCCCTCTGGTGATGTCAGGGGCCACATTTGAGGACCCCTATGTCAAGAAAGCTGATCATCACTGTGTACAAACTTCACTCACCTTAAAACTGCTAAAAAACTGCTTAATGTGCTTCTCAATTGCAGGGTACAGAGGTCATTCCTTTTCTCACGTCTGTTTTGTATGACAAGACTCAGTGGAAAACTCCTCACGAGTTTAATCCAAATCACTTTTTAGATGCAGCTGGAAAATTTGTAAAACAAGATGCATTTATGCCCTTCTCTGCCGGTAGGTTACCAGGATTATTACATAATATTATTCTACTGTAATACATTGTTTCTGTTTCATGTTATTACACTGAGAAAAAAGGGCATTACTGTGCTATGCATTCTGGTGTGGGAGATTAAACTACAGGCGGGAGGTGTGGCTGCGGTGCCATTAACTTGAATGGCACCACCACGCCCCCTCCAGCCCCAGAACACGGGAGGCTGTGTTTATGCGATCCAGTGCGTTCCGGCCACTGACCGTGCAGGAACGCACTGTATGTGGTGTAAACAAGCCCTTAGATATCATTCTTTTATTTCTAGATTGTTGAACATTGGCTAGATACAGCTTATGTCATCCTGAGTTGATTTTGTTCCCTCAGGAAGAAGAGCTTGTGTTGGAGAAAGTTTAGCCAAAATGGAGCTTTTCCTATTTTTTACCGGCCTTCTGCAAAGCTTCACTTTCTACCCACCTCCAGGAGTCTCCAGAGAAGATATAAGTCTCAAGCCTGGCACTGGATTCATTTTATTTCCTTTACCACACTTAGTATGTGCAAAGATCAACTACTAGTCTGTCAGTAAGAAGCAAGAAGAAGAGGTCTTATATCCAGGCCCGGATTCCCCACAAGGCCACCGAGGGCGCAGAGGGGCGGCAGCGGTGTCCTTGTGGGAAAGATGCCCTCTCTACATTTAGTCCTGCTTTGCACAAGCAGGACTAAATGTAGAGTGAGGCAGCCAATTTTTCGTTTACATGTGAACTCAGTGATGTCGCCGAGATTACATGTAAACAGTGTGCAGCCTCCTCCCCTCCCCCATGCACTTACCTCTCTCCTCTGGTTCCGTCCTTTGGGCTCCGCCGCCGATGCAGTGTATTGGAGGTGACAGGGTCAATTCCCTGCTTATATCCCCCCAAAAATGGACGTAATTCTTCTCCAAAGTGGAACTGTTTTTTTCTTCATATAAAGCTGCCACACAGATCAGCCTAAAATAATATTACATGCTCAAACTATATCTCAATAATGAATTCAGACCAAACAAATAGACATCGCACAGCAAAGTATCTCTAACTTTTTGCCCAAACACTTACAGTCATCATGTTTCCATACAGTTGGCTTCAACTCTCTTAGCTCGTCTTCCCTGAACTTCATGTTCAGTACAAGATCACAAGGGAGAGCTCAGTCTCCAGCAGCTGTTCATCTACTAGCTTGGGGAAGAGATGAGGGAGGAGTGGGGAAAGGGAGCCGAGGAGTGTCTTGCCTTGCTGTGTCCCTGTGTTTGTGGAGATACAGGTGAAACTCGAATAATTAGAATATCGTACAAAGTTCATTTATTTTTTTAATGCAACTTAAAAGGTGAAACTAATATATGAGATAGACTCATTACATGCAAAGCAAGATAGTTCAAGCCGTGATTTGTCATCATTGTGATGATTATGGCTTACAGCTCATGAAAACCCCAAGAACCCCAAATCCACAACCTCAAAAAAGTAGATTATTACATGCAATCAATAAAACAAGGATTGTACATAGAACAATATCGGACCTCTGAAAAGTACAAGCATGCATATGTACTCAGTACTTGGTTTGGGCCCCTTTTGCAGCACTTACTGCAATTACTTTTGCCCGATATTCTAATTATTCGAGTTTCACCTGTACAAACAGCTTCTAAGAACACAAGAATGGTGGCTCCATGGGACCCTGCAAAGGAAAGGAGCCAAAACAGGAAACCAGGGCCAGTGATCAGGGGACCAGCTGATTCCGCAGAAATCTAAAACTTTTAAACATCAAGGAGCAGCATCCATTGAAAGTGATTTCATCAACATTTGAAATAGCTTAAAAACCTTTTGACTTTAATATCACTTTAATGTAAATAATGTTATCAGTAAGTTTTAATGTTTTAAAATACTTGTTTTTATGCATAATTTGTAATTATGTATATATGTGTGGGCAGCTATATTTGCCCAATACATACATACATACATACGCTCTGCTTCCTGTTTTACACTTCTATATAGTGGCTCTGATCTACCACACCTTCTCATGATCTGAGTCTCTGAGTTGGCTAACCCATTGAAAACAATACAGTTCCTATATATCTGATATACTGAAGAGAATTTATCAAAAGTGGAGCAGAGAAAATCTGGAGCAGCCTTGCAAGGCAACCAATCAGCTTCTCTCTCTTCGGTTTGTAAGTTAAGATTTGAAAATGAAAGAGAGAAGCTGATTGGTTGCCATGCACAGCTGCTCCAGATTTTCTCTGCTCCAGTTTTGATAAATTCCCCCCTTGTCTCAACAGTTTTTTTTTTTTTTTAAAGAGAGGGTAATTGCATGGACCACTGATAGCTCCATTTTGTGGCTTATCTAAAAATCTACAAATTTGTATCTACAAATCTCTATCTAATATAATAGTAGAACTATGGCAGAGCAAGCTTGTAGAAATGAGAAAATCATAGCAAACACAGTTGAAGTCTTATACCTTTTTATTTACTTACAGACCTGTACTCCTGTATGTTATGGTTTGTGACTGACTTGTAATTTTTTTCAAATACCATTTTTTAACTGAAAATGCCACTTTCAGTCCTCAAACTCCATTACTACGTACTGTCATAGTTGAGTAACAGCCACACCCCTCAGCACAAATGTCCTGAACACATAGACTTACATTGCAGAGAAGAGAAAGAGGTGTGTCTTCCAAGTTTTGTAAATGAGTACTGACTACTGAGTGTACTGTGGTTTACTCTAGTGCTTCTTGGAATACATAGACACCCGACACAACTGCTGCAACACAAAAGTAGAAGTAGGACAATAACAATAAGGGCTTTTAGTACAATGTTTATCTGACTGTGTATCTATCTATTCCTGTGACTTATATAGGTGTTAAAAATTTACTTTAACACAATGTGAATGCATAATGAACTTACCACGACCATATCAATGATTAATTACAATTTTATGGATAATTTTATGTTTCCATGTATGACTTTACTCACTGTATTACAATATCTGTTTCTGTGTCATGTACAAAAATACAAATAAACATATATTTACCAGAAAATCACTTTAAGCTCAGCACTGCAATAATAACTCAAAGTATGTACTCACTGGTAATATACAATACCTTTCCTTTAATTATTACATTTAGCACCCAGACATCTTGTTAATAAAAATGAGCAAAAGGAGATACATTTATCTTCCAAATCATATCCTACATATATTTTATGAAGATTTCCTACTTTTTTAATTGTCTAACTTTCCATCCAATCAAATGAATGAAGTGAAAATGGAATTCATTGCAATCCACATTTTTCAAACACTCAAGGTCCTCTGGCACTCAAGGCAAAAATGCCAAAGCACACCCCCACCACATACAGATTGGGCTTGGACAATCACATCCAGAGAATGACCGATGCAGGGTACAGAAATGACAACAGCTATCCACTGCTCCTTCCCTGACCACCATTTGGTCAAACTAAATGGGAAGGTACAATTTGTTTTTTCATCTAGGAAGCAAGATAGCTTATATCTCATTCAATGTGCAAATTATATTCGTTGATTTTACCCGTCTATGAAGGTATGACAATTGTGTTTTAGGCCTAAAGCTTTTTTATGTGACCATACAAGAAAGAATGAACACAATTTATTAATTTATTTATTTTTTACAATCACAGTCTTTTTTCATAAATTTATGAAGAGCAGAACCTGGTTGGCACACAGACAGCCCTGCCCTACAGATTACATTATAAGAGCTCACCCAGTATACAGTGTATTCAGTGGAACTCTTCTGCCACTTTCACAGCCAATCAAAAGAGCTGTCATGATTGTTAGCTAGCCCTAACAAACTGTGAGGGATCTTTTAAAGAACTAGATAGAACTATGCAGAGTCCTTTGTAAAGTTTATGATAGACAAACACCTCATGTGCACATGGATTATGAATAATTGGTTATAAAAATCATACTGTAAAACAATCATACTGATACTTACCTTAACATTATCATGCATCTTAAAAAAAAAACATAAGGGGAAATGTAATAATAACTAACAAGTAGGGATGCCCCGATATATCGGCTGCCGAAACATATCAGCCGAAAATGGCACTTTTGGCATAATGCCAAAAGTGCCATTTTCCTGCCGATACATCGGCGAATCCCTGATTTCTTTTCTCCCCGCTGGGCGCTGCTCTGTGTCCCAGAGGGGAGGATAGAAACTGTGATAGCCAGCCGAGCGCTGCGGGAGGAGAGCGATGTGAATGACCGGCGTCTCCTCCCACACCGCTCAGCCTCCTATCACAGTCCGGCAGAGCGCTATGTGGGCGGAGATGGGCCGCGCTGTCACAGTAGGCTTAGCTCTCCTCCCTACACAGCTCGATCAGCCTCCTGTGACAGCATGTCAGAAAGGAGAGCAAGGTGCAAACACTCAGTGATCAGTGAGGTTTAAGACATCCCCAAGCATGTTATTTAAAGGACTTGTGTACTTTTAATAGTGCCCTGAACTGTATTCTTTAGTTGTTGTTTTTTTTTGCACTTGTACATGTCCATAATGCAGTGCCCTTTTTTAAAAAAAACCTTGCTAACAGGCTTTGAAAAAGGACAGAAAAAATGTTACAAAATTCGGCTCTCATAGACCTCAGTGGCGTTCAGGCACTTGTAGGGATGTAGTGTTTTCCCTAAATTCCTTTGTTCTTTTTGTGATCTGTCAGTGTAGATTAGTCAGCTTAGCTTTGTGCTGGCTAGTTTCCTCTAAGTGTGCAGTGATTATTCTCAGTCATCTGCTGTGTGAATGTTCTCTAGTAGAGTGTGCTAGAGATAATGCTTCACATTAGAGTAATTAAAACATGGCCAATCAGTAGGTCTGGGGAGCTTGCTGTGCATGCTGGGATAGTTATTAAATATCTGAGGCACTTCCTGGTACAGGGTCTTCACTCCAGGGTTTCACCCTGAGAGGATGCATTAGTGAACAACCAATCTAGGCCCCAGACATGTCTGTCCCCTGTCATGGGAGATATCCCTAAGGTACTGGCTGCATTGGAGTGCTACTAGGACTTGAGCAAGCAAAGCTAAAGTTGTCCCTACATGGATGGTGAGTTGGGAAGCACCACATGAACCTTCCCACTGCTGTCCTGCTTTGATCTAAAAGACTGAGCTTACACAGAAACCTCTGTTCTACAAGGAGCCACTTATATTGAGATGTATTCCAGTCAGTAGAGTTCTGTGAAAGAAGGATCTAGATTGCTAGAAGACCGAGCAGAAGACCAAAGACTGTGATTTAAAGGGTTATTAAACCCTCATTTTTTGTTGCTTATAGCTACTGCTAGTAAGCAGTAGATATATGCAAAACGATAAAAAAAAACTTTTTCAAAGGGTTTAAACTTACCTATGTCTCCACTGCGCGCTTTCGTCCAAACATCTGAAAATGCGCAGTTCAGATGTTCAGTCGGGAGACCGGGAGAGACACAAGGTAAGTATATGGAGCAGCTTGCATCCGCACAGACACCGTGGGACATGAGAGAAGAGGACAGAGGAGTCAGCTCTGGATCGGAGACCCGCACCAGCGCTGGAGGGACAGCTAAAAACTCCTGCAAAGAAGAAGATGATC